AGCAGAGGTCCAGGTGTGTGTGTGTGCTGTGGTGAGTGTGGGGAAGAAGAAAAGGGAGCAGATTAAGTGTAAATAAACACTAAAATAGGTAAAATTACCTAGAATAACCTACTGTCCAAACAAAATACGATATAGGCCCTACACCAACTACCACCCCACGGGCCGCCGCCACCGAGCCGCCAGGTTTACACTGTCTTAATCGAGAGCTCCAAAGTCCAGGGAGCAAGTGTGTCTCTCGGATCCGCGACACGAGACAGTGGACTTTTGTGTCGCGATTCTCGGTTCTCGTTTTCTAGAACCGTTTACAGCCTGTTGTTTAACAAGTTTTGGTGACTTCAGTTTCTCCAAAGCTGTTTGTTTCAACACATTGAGAAACTGTAGCTCTGCAGTAAAGCAATTGGAATGAGATTTGGTTACAGTTGATTGAAATGGTGGTAATAGTGTCAGTCTTGGTTGACAGTTGTGATTATGTGACAGACCTGCTTCCACCCGTTTGTGTGACTCGACAGCAACTTGTAGTTTTGGGTTGAAATCCTTTTAATCCTTAATCAGACATCTTGGAGGATTCCTTGAGCAAACCCAATCCTGGCTTATTTTTGGTCTTAAAAGCCCAAAAAATACACAACTGCTCTTTTGTAACATCATTAGCATGCAGGCTGATATTACTTTAACTGAAAACTAAAAAAGCAACTTATACCCGAGAATACAGGATCTGATGCAAAATGAAAAAACAGAAAAAAGCAGCCATTTTTAATTAGTTTAAATAATGTATCCTCAAAAAATATTTAGTTTTTTCTAATAGTTTTTCATTGTCCATTTATTGTTAATAACATTTTATAGAATTGTATGTTTGTATGAATATAATACGTTTTTTTCAAGACCAACCACAATAATTTCCTCGGGAGGCACGATAAGTATAGTAAAGTATAAAATCTACTCCTCTGATGGGAAAAATTTAATATTATTCTGAATTACCGGGATAATTACATTATAGCCGATAAATTATCGGGCTTTTAATAATATATTTATTTTGAATTCTTATGCAAAAATGATTGACAGCCTTTATGTTCTATGAAAGCCAAACTACTGTTTTAATGAACTTTAACTGGAAAACTAAGACCCAACATTTTGAAGAGTCAGAGCTCTTAATTTGTATGTTAGAACAGTGAATGTGAAATCCAGATTGGTTTAGAGCACAGTTATAGAATATTAAATCATGTATCTTTTGCTCACTAAATAATCAACCATTTCTTGGCCATTAAGTGGTGTAAAAACTACAGGTTATGAAACTTTTTTTTTAAAAAATACAAAAAAACTTGAAATTATTCGCAGTTGTTTCCCTCTAGGAATTTTGTCCCCCCCCCCCGTTACGTATGAAACAGAACTGACACTTCGCTGGCAACACAAACAAATATAATATTTACCGTTTTTAATTTTTTCCAGATGTTTGAATCAGGACGTTTTGAGCCTGAGGGGAAAAACTGACAATTAAGGTTGGCGTTCCGCGTGACATTTTTTGGTGGAGCTGTTAGTTTAATAGTCGACTTGGAAGAAAGCGAACAATTTGACAATAAGCTCCTCCAACCAACAGTATGTGGAGTTAAAGTGGACAGCCCCAATAACCTCTGAAACAGTTCTATGTTGTTAACTGCAATGTGAGCGCAAGCCAACGGGGCTGATTATTGTCGGCAGGATCATTTAAAAGGCAACCGGGACTAACAGTCTGCACGCCATTTCTGATACCGTGGCGGCAGAAATTTAACAGCGGCGGGCCGCTGCTCCAAAATCAACATAGAGGAAACACTGTATCGGTCATCTTAAAATGAAGAGCAGGTAGTTTACTAATTTACTTAAGATAATTACTTAAGAAAAGAGTCAGCAGGCTAATTTAAATATTACATTAATGCAACGCTTGCTGGCAAGAACTATGTTTGAGGTGTCCTGTCATACACAAGGCCATGGGGTAAACAATAAATAATATTTACACATTAAGAATCCATACTTTAGATTTGCACCAAATGGTCATTACTGCCTTTAATTGAAACTGCACTCTTGCACTTAGACTTGCACTTCTTTATGTCACAAAATTACCCTTCATGCTTTTTTTTTCCCAACCTTTTTTAGGCTTTCTGTGTCTTTGAAACTTCATTATGTAAAGCACTTTGAATTGCTACCCTGTATGAAAGCTAAGGTTCAGAACTTTATCTTCCATGAGGAGAGTGAAGCAGACAGGTTGCTGCTGCGAACAGTGGTTGGTAGAGAGTGGGATGATGGAAAGTTTGTACTGGAGGCCAAAGTAGGCTGTACTCACCATCCAGTTGGTGTCCCTGAGTGAAAGCTGCATGTGCTGACTCATAGTGTTTAAGGTGGTATTCTGCTAGTCTGCAGTTGGGAGAGAAAAACATGACACATACACTTATAATTGATAATCTAAATGAACTAAAAGGGACCTCCTCTGACACACAAAATCTGGATCACACACCCGTTAGAGAAGTTAAATGACTAAAGCAATTCTTATACATAAACTTAACGGCTGGCTGAAAAGAAAAGTAGCACTTCCCATACAAAGCTCTGCACAATTTGGGTTGAAATGTATCAGTCAATATGTAACTAACTAACTCATGTTTACCAGTCAACGTTATATTCCAGCTTTTGAAAAACAACACAGAGTCAATGCTTCCATCAACAGTACATACACCAAACACCTATGTGTGCGTGATTTTCCCTTATTGTCTTCCTCATATTACAGTACACACCCTGTTCGCATGAAAGCAAGGGGAAGGCTGGGTTGTAGCTGCTGTGCTTTTTTGGCATCATCAACGGCACCTGAGGACAGAAGACAATATGTTTAAACAATATGTTTATCATAAACATTCATCCAGGCTGTATCACTTAGAAAATTAATATTCATGCTACCCAAATTTCCTCCAGTGGTTTCCTGGTGCCAGATTATTAATGCATTCTGGACCACAGCAGCTACTCAAGTGTTTGAGGCACAATGCAGAATTATATTCACATACTGTGGGCAGCTACCAAACAATACAACATCATTTTCAACACAATTATATTTCCTGAGTCTTTATTATAACCAACATATCTGTCAACACATGTATGCAGACTTACAGCTGTAGTTTTTGAGAAGTGTGTTGGCATAGGCACGCTGGCAAAACCACTCAGCGTTATCCGAGTCTTCTTGCAAGGCCTCATTTAGTGCCTACAAGGAAAGAGATGGCATTTAAACAGACAGCTTACAATGCTGCTCTGGTTCAAAGAGTGGTGATAAATGATGTTAAACATTAAACAAACAACACTGGCTCACACGCTGTCTCCTCTGTTTGCTACATTGTTACCACCAACTATTTTTAAAGCCTATTTTTTATTGTGGGATGTGTTTAGCAAAGAGTAGAAGTGCTGAGTAGCTCTGAGTAGAATGAATGAGTCCTGTATGTTGGACCTGAACTACAATGGTAGTCACATCCACGTAAAGGAACAAGCAAAGTGTGTTTAAAATGTTGACAAACAAATAAAACTAGTAAACAAGATTCCATACTGACTTACTGACTGTTTAGGAAGACACTATGCTAGTCATGCTAACAGCCCAACATATCCTTGTTTATCACTAAGGTCACCCTAAATATCTCCTGAAGAGTGTAATAAAAGACATGCCCTGCTAACTCAGAAACGCTACTGTTACTGAAGGTAATAATATATAATATTAGATTATAATGACGCAAAGTGGCGCTAACAGCAAGCGTTAGCTACCTTGGCTAGGTAGTCTCAGTGTCAAACACAGTGCTAACATCACAAACATTAACACCACCGACACCACAGCCGGTTTCCTTCACACCACAGCCCGTCAGAAGAACTCAAGGTTAACGCGATAATCGGAAAGAGGCAGCAGATATTTGATTCAATCGCTGAAGTCATTTGTTTATGGCTAGCTGCCGCTAATGTTTACCTCCAGAGCTTTCTGTGGATCCTCGTCAATGAAGCTATCGGGGAAGCTGCTAAAGCGAGAGGAGAGAGCACCCGTTAACAGCAGCGTAGAAACAAACCGACTTAAACAGAATAACGTCTCATTCATATGTAAGGTTTCACTTGCCGTTCGGTTGCCATGGGTTCGCTGCGGATGTGTTTCTAGGGAAGCAGGAAAGTTCTAGCAAGATGTGGAGACTACTGTGGAAACGTGATAGCGGCAACAGCCCGACAGCTGCAGGCCTGTCAACATCCGACCGCTCACACTGCCACTGCGCCACCTACCGGCCTGGAGGACTCACGACATGGCCGCTTCCTATTACTACAGCACATTTATTAACTCTGACATGATGAAAATAGGACTGCCAATCATTAAATACTGTATTTATTCCAATATATAGAGTAGTATAATAAGTAGCAACATCTCACCTCAAAAATACCCCACTATTATTCTATTATATATATTAAACTACTGTACTATTAACCTACTGGATAGGCATCATTTGAATGTAGTTTCAGCAAGAGGGAGCCAGTTTGACGTACCTACCTAAAATACATTGGAGTTGAAAATGCAATATTGAATGGAGTGTAGCTGTAGTCAGGTAAAATATTAGAATATAAATATACTTTAAATACCAAAAGTTATAGTAGTCGTTATGGTCGCAGAATGTCCTTTTTGAGAACATATATTGTACAATTGGATTTTTTTTTATTGGTGCATAAATGTGTATATCACTTTATTGTTGCAGCTGGTAAAGGTGGGGTTCATTTTAATTCATTTATATATTGCTGGGTTTCCAAAAAGGGATCAATAAAGTTGTATATTATTAATATGAATGTGCAAAGAAACTAATGCAGTAAAAAGTACAATATCTCCCTCTGAATTGTAGTGGAGAAGAATAAAGTAGCATAAAATGGAAAAACTAAGTACCTCAAATTAGAAAGTACAGTACTTGCATGAATGTACCTATTTACTCTGAAATGTGGGTGAATAAATGAGTGGGGATGAACGTCACACAGACAATGATAAAATTACATTTATTTCATATACTCTTTTCAACACCTCTGGACTGCACAAAAGCAAACGCACTGAAATAAAGCAACAGAAAATCCACCTCTCCCTCTGCTACAAGCTTACAAATCCACATCAGTAAAACTTACAGTATCAAGAGACCTCCAGATAAAGCAAAGTGAGGGGATTCAAAATAAATGGTTTACTCAGTAATAAACTGAAAACCGTTTTGCATAGGGTTCCCTGGGGGCAAAGGCACGGTTATAAGCCTCTCCTAAACCAAGTTTAGCCTCGCAAGTCTAAATCTTACACACTCAGTTTTTATTTGGAGTGAAGCGAACTTTGTGGGCTGGCTTTGTGAGGCTAAACTAAGATCAACTGAAGAGAAAACACTGAACTTAGCATTACTTCATTATAAAGGGCAAGCCGTTTTACTCCTTGCATAGAGGATACAGTCTGTGCAGTAAAACACATTTTTACAAACCTGAGGGAGAAAATGGCAACAAGGCACAAAGTCAAGCATGTTCACAGACATACAGTATATAATACACAACACATACAGATATCAAGGCTTTAGAGGTCCATATATGCATTTATATATGTGTAACAACTAAACAGAATGTGTGCATAGCAGAAAGGCTAAATAGTAGAAGTACGACTCAACAGGAGGCAATGTAGCAATATAAAAGGCTACAAGACAATTTCACTTGTGACTGTCAACAAAAGGAAGGTCCACTGTGTAGATGCATCAACTAAACAGCAGCAGTGCTAAATTACTATTCTACAAATAACAGTGATCCCTTGTTTTCAACATTTCACAATACAAACATAATTCATCTTAAAAAATAATAATAATAATAATAATAACAATAACAATAGTAATATGGAATGTTTTCCCTCAATAACCTCACGATTACCAGGAACAGAGGAAGCAGCAGGGACAGGGTGGACTGAGATCTTCAGGCACTTAGAGAAGAAACATACAGCAGAGGTAAACATTAGTGCAAAGCCAATTTCAAGGCAGAGGAATGATTCAGCATGTGAGAGTAAAAGAGTGGGAAAGAGCGAGAGTAAAGGCAAAGACGGAGGGCACAGTGTGCTGATCAGATCATTTGCTCCATGACGCTGGAGGTGAAGTGCAAAAGCAGAGGGGGTGTCTGCAGGAGATGCAGAAAGGCAATAGATTCCAGTGCATGTCTGTCTTTGGTGTCTTGTATAGTTAAAGGCTACAGAGAATGAATGAGATAAAAGGACAAGAGCTTTCAAAGTCTTCCTCTTCTTAGAAAGTAACCTGCTGAGTGCTCTGAGATTTTGGTTCATGCCAATTCCCTGCCAACTCAAGATGTCAGACAGGAAGCACTGATCAAGAATTACTTTTGTTACTAATTCATAATATAATCTAAAATACAAAAATAGTCCTAGATCAATACTTCCACTCTTACACGCTTGAGAAATAAAGGCCCGGGTGTGGATTGCCACAGCAAAGTGCAGCTCTGTAACTGGTCCTGAGTCAGTGGAGTGTGTGTGTGTGTGTGTGTGTGTGTGTGTGTTTGGGGGTGTCTGGTCTTTTCTATTGGTCAGAGCTTGTTAAGGGAACCAGCTGTGGAGTTTCCACTTGTGAAGTTTTCTGTCCTGGGTGTGACTTCTCATTAGGTGTCTCCCGTGCACAGTTACTGTCCACAGCCACCTGAGCAGCAGCCTGACGCTCACACAGACTCCCGAGCAGCTGAGCCGTTCTGAAGACTGAGGCGTGACCAGCGGGCTGCAGGGACTGGACCTTCGGCAGGTTCTGGAAGGTCCGCAGCATCTCAGCTGACACAATAGGCAAATGCTGCTCCTGGATCAAGCTGGTGCTGGTGGGCCGCAGGATGGTGTCGCGCTGGGCTGAGGGCCTGGGAGCGGGCCTGGTCCGCTGGGTGGCTGGGGCTCGGACAGAGCTGGACGACATTTTTTTCTGTGGTGGGTGTAAATCTTCGTCCTCCACTGATTGGTCACTGGAAGGTATTGTGCTGTCATCAGAGTCATCGCTCACACCTTCATCATTGCCGCTATTGTCGTCATAATCTTCCTCCTCTTTGGCGTTGTCTCCATCTGTGATATAAATCATGTCTTTGGGCAGAGAGGTGAACTGGTAGACGAGACGCTGGCCTTCTACCTTATTCAGTATGCCCCTCTGGTAGTAGTACCTACATGAACACAGAGGTTCAGCATTAACGAAGCAAACAATGCATCTACACCTAAAAATAAAGACACAACCAGCTTATGTTTTTTTTTCTATATTGTTTACCTGAGTGCTCTGCCCATTGTCTCATAATTCATATCTGGCTTGTTCTTGTGTTTGCCCCAGAGTCTGGCCACAGCTTTTGAGTTGACCAACTTGAAGATTCCTGCATCAGGATTAGTCCATTTAATGTAGCGGGGGCAGACCTGTCGGTCCTGCAACAACTCCATCAGGAACTGCCACAGGTACAGAGTGTTTCCTCCTGAAACACAAACACAGGAAACACGATGAAAAAGGAGAGACAAAGAAACAACATGGGAAATGACTTTTGTGAAAGCTGTGATCCATCTATCGAAGGCATTATCTCTTCATCTGTTTGTTAAAGTAATGACTTTCACTTTTGTAATCCACATCCAGTTACATTTCTTACAGTTTATTCAGACATGACAGGACATGAGCCATGTGCTTATGCAAGTTCAGTTTCATTTTATCGATTTACGATAGCAAATTCTGCTGCATAACTCTGACAGCACAGAATGACAAAACGTTAAGACGGACACTTAATTGTTGTCACATGCCATATGTAAGGCGTTTTTGCTGGATATTCATTCATTATCCATAAAAATATAGGGAGGGAATGCTGTTTGGGGGATTTTTACTGTAGTTTAGCAGTTTTTTTCTATTTCTATAAACTAATCTGGCATGAGACAAATATTGTTTCATAATGTTTTTTGCATACTTTTTGTCAGGTACTATTCTGTGTTTTATGCATTGGAAATTATAATTGAGTAGTTCATTACAGCTGCTCTTCAGAAGACAAAGAAGACATGCATTTCATTTCTCTCTGTGTATGTACTGCTGCTGCCTTTCTGTTACTCTCTTTCCTACTAACACAATAATAAAACACAAACATAATAAAGGTTATGGAAATGTTACTACCTCTGACCCAGTAAGATTGCTGTCATGACTTTTATGCGAAGGTGACTCTGGCGCTTATTCAGATAGGACATCAACATGTAAAATTGCCATCACATTAACATAATGAGGTGAAAGGGGCTTAGCTAATGTCGTTATGTGTGACAATACCTTTGTTGTATTTGTCCTTCTTCACTATAATGTCTGGTGTTGGAGACTCTGCCCTTCTATGTCGAGGTTTTCTCCCTGAGTAGTTGGAGAATAAAAGCAGGTCACTTACACAATATTTAATATAATCACACAAGCCATAATTTAGTTTCTGATCAGCTGATAACCCAGAATGTCACTGACCTCTCTTCCTGGACTGCAGCTGTGCCGCAGGCTTCTTTGTGTGCAACAAGGGCCACTGGGGCTTGTCAACAGCTCCCACAATGCCCTCTGCCGACACAGTCACCTGGGTAACAGGAGTAGTGATGACATCACCCAGTGACGGTAAGAAGGTCTGGGCTGCAGGGGGGCATAAACAGATTTAATGAAAGAGAACAGCACTGTGACCACTATGTCTAAAAATAACATGTTGCAGTCAGACATGTCCTAGATCAAAAAGCAGAGGCAGTGAGGTTTTACTAGGACATCTTCACTCTGTCAGACTGCATGTGAGTAGTGTTAACTCAGGTGTGTGTGTGTGTGTGCTTACAGTAGTGTTGTTCCAGGGAGAGAGCATCAGGGCAGTCCATGCTGAGAAGCGAGTCAGCAGCAACAAGTGTCTCCATGGTCTCTTCTTCTCCGCTTTCACATGGCTCCACTACAGAGCACAGAGAAGGGAGTAACATACAAAAACTGTTTTTAGCAGGTGGACCCACCTTGTACTTCATTTTCTGGATTAGCTGAGAGCCAAGAGCAGACATTCCTGTCTGGTTACTTTAGCCACATTTTCTCAAGTGATTTTCCAGACAACTATATCATGAAATACAACATAAAACTACAGATGCCTATATCGCTCACAGCCCGATCACGTGTGTTCAAGTACCCCTTCCTTGTAGCATCTCAATAGATGGGATGGGGGGCTTTCCTGGTATTGTTCAAAAGTAATCCACCACAGACAAAACTTTGGTGGATCTGACGCTGCACATTGAAATTCATACAAGACATAGTGATCCAATAATTGTTAATGTTTAATTTAGGCTGTGGCTTTTTTTCCCAGTAGGTTTGTTGAAGTTTCCATCTCATCTAGGGATCATGGGAATCAAGAACCAGTTCCACTTGAGAACCGATTCCAAATGGTCCGGTCCATCAGAATGGTATGCCATCAAGCTCATCAGTTCCTTTTATCAATGCCAGCAGGTTTTTATTACGTGTCTTTCTCTCATTGCAAAACAAACTCATGCGTCTTCGCTGCTGGAAACTTGCAAAAAGCCATTTGAGTCATGGCGAAGAGGAAGAAACCGTTCAAAGCGTGGCCTCATTTCACAAAAGAACTATTATAACTCTGCTTTCTGTACCCCGTTCTAAGACACAAAGATAATAAAACAGTTGCACTGACATTTGATTTCCCACAAAGAAAGTTGATAAGGAATCAAAAAGGGAATCGACAAAGAATCGGACCGATAAGCAGAATCAATAATGGTATTGGTATCAATAAAATCTTATCAATTCCCATCCCATTCCTCATGCCAGTACCAGTTGGGAGTGGCAGCAACCTGGCAACACAACCTTTATTTATTACGTTTAGCTATCTACTCTGACCTTTCTTTCTTACAGTCTAGTTTGCACACATTCTTAATCACAAAATGTGGGGTTGGGGTGTTAAAACTGGCTGTGTGCAGATGGCCTATTGAGCTGAAATGTTACTCATTATTGTGGCAATAAATACACTACATAGCTCAAATTAACTGCTTCCCAAACTGTAGCCCCAGTGCCATTGAGATAAAAATAACACCAAAGGGGAGTCTATTGTTCAGCGCGCATTTATTTAACTGTTATGTGTCGTGAAGAGGCTGTGCAGCAGGGAGCTAGAGAACATCTGCTAGCTAACAGCTGTTTGTCGTGGGCTCAAACACTTTCTCACTTTCTTCAAAACATGTAGCCACGTTTAAAGACACGCAGCAGGTAGGTTGCAGCCCCAAAACGGTACTAAGTTTGAAGTAAACAGTCCATAACCGTCTGTGAGTGGGTTTTTTTTTTTTTTTTTCTTGCAGTTACCGTTAGCTAACTAAAACGAGCCTCGCCATGCCCAACTTCAGCTGCTCGCTCCAGCCAGAACAATGTCGGAAAAACAACCCGATACAGTCATATAACTTACTTTTAATTCCCAGCACTGGTGAGGAACAAGCTATAGCATATGTGCTGTAGCCCGGATCGACCACGTCTACATCCTAATATGATTCATTAACTGTCTTTCCCAGGCACGAGCCAGGAATGTTTTGTTTCACTTCCTGACTTTTTGCGGAGGGTGGTCCATGTGCGAGGGTTGCGACTGCGCATGTCCAGTCCCAGGCTCTCTGTGATACCTGGTGTCGCTTTGAATTTAGAAAGAGTTGAATAAAACCTACAACATTTTAAACCGTTGAATAACCTTTAGAATAGACCACTGGGCGGCATGTGAGCTTCAGTCATGAAATGTGAATGTGGTAGGTAAAGAAAGGCTGGTGTGTGTGTGTGTGTGTGTGTGTGTGTTGCATGCACTGACCTTTAAGCAGCTGCTGGTGATCCTCCTCTGTATGTGACTGTTCACACGCTAGACCTGTATATGAGAACAGGTGTGGATGGGGAACCTGCTCCACAATCACAGCGGGGTAATCCAAGTAACCCCCCAGCTACAACACACACAAAGAAAATTAGATTAGATTACAATTGGTTAGATTCCTGAAATTTTTTTGCTGCATCACATGCTAGCTCTGTTTCAACACGACATTCAGAGAAATGCGCCACTGCTTTACATTTACGTACCTGTGACATGTTAACATGGTCACTGGCAAAGTCAAAGATGAGCTCTGACTGTTGAAGCATGGCTGGATATCCAAAAAGCGACCTTAACTGTGTGGAAACAGCATCACAGCTTTTCTCAGAAGACTACGAATAACTCCACAGGTCCAATGGTGTTTTTGTGTCCAGGCAGATCCACTTTTTGGAAAGAATCTTAAGACGAACAGCAGCTGACTGTCAGTGTACATCTACCAGACAGCCTCCCCCAGGATACGATGAGGCCCGTCTCTTTCCATGCAGCACAATTCAACAGTGGAAGAGTGATGTGAGTAAACTAATTGACCAGAGACACAGAGGCGTCACAGGAAACTCATGTCGCTCTGCTTCAGCGCTCGATGAGGAAGTGGGGGCTGCTAAACTGCCCTGTGGTCTTGACTGAACCTGGCAGAGAAGAACAGAAAGAGAGTGACGTGAGAAAATGTGCGTGATGGTGGTGGTGGTGGTGGTGGTGGTGGTCGGAGAGCCGTTAGAGGCAAAACACAAAGTGAGAGCACTACACCTGCAGTGAATATCAGGTGGTAACTGTTAAACTTTTTAAATAAAATGTCCAAATAGAGGAATGCGGTCACTGTGATCTGAGAGGCAGAGAAAACAGCACAGTTTGCTTCGCTCTTTTATATATCTCATTCTGTTGCTCTTATCTTGCTTCTAAAAGAGGCCAAACCAGCAACAGGAAGGAAGCATTTGCACTGCAATGTGTGCCTGGGCTGTGTGTGTGTACGTGTGTGGTATGAGTAGCGGGGGAGGCAACTTGAAACATCATGTCTTTGCACAATGTTCAAGGTTTCAGGGGCGTTACACGCACATTCCTTACATCATGACTGTGAAGGGGATATTCAGAACAAAACTACAAACGCAGCTCCTCTTCTCTGCTGCTGCCCCTTAATCGCTCAGTCCCAGTCCTTTCTCTTCTTACCCTGACCATCCCTGATCCTCTGTCCTTCATTTCTAAGCATTTCTGAGGTTATAGTTAACCGTCAAGAGAAATTAGCCTCTTCTGTTGCTGCTGTACAGCGTTCTCACCCTCACAACAGTCTAAAATGTAAGTTTAACTTTAAACATTGTTGGAACACCTGCACTCACCCAGTTGAAGATCACGCCAGCGTTCAGGTTTTGCATGCAATAGAGCTCCCACTGTAAACAAATCGCTTCCAAGGAATGAAATGTAATCATTTAGCTCTTACGTTTTAATCCCATTAATCCTCAATTTGGTTGAAACCGTCCTGGCGGTTTGTATACCCCAGCTGCCACAGAGAGGGAGAATGTGAGTGCGCTTCTTTGTCTTTATGTGTATGTGTGATAGAGGCACAACATGTTTGGGTCAGTTATCACACAGGAAGCACAGCTCAGTTAGGAGGCACCGCTTCCTGAGTTCTTGTGCCAGACCACTGCCAACATGTCTGCCAGCAGTGGCCTTCTCATTTTCGACTTCCTCTGATGTGTGCGGTTGTTTGGTGCTCAATGATTTACATAGGACACGAGTGAAATAGAAGGAAATGAAGGAGTGTATTAGGAGGTATTTGTATGTAGTATACAAAGCTGAAAATTAACAGCATCTGTAACAGTGTTCATTACTGATTGATTGTTTAAATATTATTATTAAGAAAAATATCAGAAACGATCTCTTGTACTAGCCTCTTGTGAATATATGATGGTCTTCTATGATATTAAGTTGAATATATTTGTGTTATAGATTGTTGGTCAGACAAAGCAAGACATCAGCTTGATCTGTGGAAATGTGGTGGGTTTTTTTTCACTATTTTTGCATTACAAGTCCCCATTCACTCAAAAATATGTCTGCGTAGAGTTTGACACTAGAATGATGTTTCCACATTAATCTGCTGAAAGTGGAAAGTTTCTCTGTGCTCATTGAAAATCTGATTTTAAGGGGCGAGGGCTACGAGCATCACAATTAGTTAGAAAGTCAACCCCAGTCCAGTATGCAACACAATGTGTGATGTAAAAATCTGAAGCCACCAGTGCAACACTGAGAATGGACTTTGGAATATTTTTACGGAAAACATATTAGACCCATTATTGTTTCAAGCATTTGTTTAAATGTCTTAATATATGTTTTGAGGGCATTTTTAATCTAAATCACATATGTCGTTAAATGACATAACATGACCTTGTTTTCTTCAGATAGTTATTCGGAGTGTCTTGAAGTTGCAGGTTACGTAATAAAACGTAATAAACCAACAGCCACTTTCCACTTCCTCACCTGAAAATCCGGCCTTAGATGTACATCATGGCC